ATCCCCTGACGAGAAATGTCTCCCCCCTTCGCCCAGGAGAGCCGTGCCAACCAACGGGAAGCCTGAGGAGGAGAAAGGCTGTCCTGCCGCAGCGCCCGGCCAGCCCGGGCTGCAGCAACACCAGAGGGACCCGAGCGGCAACTCCGCTGCGGGATCTCGCTGCGGCTCTCCGGAGCAGTTCGAGGCGGGCATGGGAGTCTCGGATCCCAGGCTGTTTGCCGTGTAACTCCCCCCTCCCCACAACTGACAGGGTCTCCCACCGTCGCGCTGTGAACAGGCAGGGAACACTCTGTGGGGTGCCCCAGGGTAAAAGCGGGGAGCACGGAGGGAACTGAGGGTGAGTACGAGACGGAGCCAGAAGGTTTCTGAAGTCCTAAGGGGAGCAGGCAGGTGCCTTCCTCTCCTGAGACCGGCCAGGGCTCTGCGGTCAGGAGCCGCTCGCCTCACAGGCAGCGGAAGCGACACGGAGCCCAGGTGTGTGCTCAGAACACTTCCATTTATTTATTTATTGTGCCAGATTAAAGGACTTCTGGAGCCATTTTTTCTGAAGGAATTCTGCATCACCATCCCCCCTCCCCAGTATCGACATATCTCCCCTTTCCGAAGAGTTTGTCTATCCCAGACCTTTTTGTTTTCTCTCCTTCCTTTCTAGTTTTTACCGGCTTGGAAAATGAACTTCATATTTTTGTTGCGCCTAAAAGAAGTAGCATCGATCTCCCGCACGTTTGATCTCTGCGGCAGTTGGCTGCTGCCCTGCCGCGGCAGCAGGTCCCTTCCTTACCCCCGTCCTCATCCTTGCAGAATGCACCGAGTGCCCCCTCACCTTGGAAGGGGCACGATTCTTCTCCCGGTGGGAGTTAGGAGTCGGTAAAGAAAGCAGAATCGGGTCTTAACGAAGTTCTGCCAGCAGGAGCATCTTCTAAAGTGTTTGTTTGTGTTACGCATTAGCTCAACTCTCCGCACAATATCATTCGGAAAGAGGAAAATCCTGTATTGTGATCTGTCGTTGTCTTATTTTGTCAGTAATTACAGTAAAATTAAACGGGTCATTGATAACATCCCAATGACACAGTCCCCTATAATTAAGAGGCTGAATACACCTTTTTACATTACAGGAAAGTTGTAATTTTCGAGTCTTTTCACATTTTTTATTTTTTATTATTATTATTATTATTATTATTATCACTAAGGCACACTCCGGGAATACGGGCTAATCAGATGGCAAAATATCTCGCGGGAGATGAGGGCTTGCAGCGTCTTGTTTTCTAGGGTTTAGGGTATTCCATTTAAAGGGATGATCGAGAGCCCCTGTAGACAAAAAATATCTACCCAGCAATTTACTTTCTACCATAAGGGAAATATTTTGAAAGTATAGTTTTGTAAGGCTAAACTTCTGAAGGAAAAAAGAAAAACAAGAGCTGCGGGGACGGACAGATCGTCGAAGCCGTAGGACATGAGAGTTATTACGAAGTTAATCTTTAAAATTGCGCTGTCGAAATGTCAGTCACGAAAAAAGAGCTTCGCCAAGCCCAAGTGCGGCATCCCATTTACAGGAGGGCGACCTGGCTGTTGATGGCTGTGCCGCATCGCTTGGAGAAGAGGGGTTTAGGAAATAAGGGGATCTTTCTGGTTTGCATCCCCGTCAGTTATCCCCACATTGCAAAAGCATCATTGAGGGCAAGTCAGAATGAATTTGTGTAAAAAATAAAGGAGGAAAGAAAGAAATTAAATCATATAGGAGCTTCTGTCTTGCAGGCCATCCTGTTATTGCAAATTAGATTAGCTACACAGGCTTCAATATAAACATGACATGGGGTTCACAGGAGAGTGAAAGTATCATCCACTCCAATCTCTCCTTTCATTGAAACATTCCCACAAATTACATCTTCTCCTTTAATACACTTTTCAATGAGATTAAAACATCACTTTGACACGATTTCAAACCTTTTCAGTCACATCCAGTGCTTACTTCAGCAAACAGCAAACAAGGGTAAAACTGGAAACATCTGCATAACCTCAGACCACTAGTCTGAAAATTAAAGGTACCCGGAGGAAATACATGATCCTCTTGCTCCATCCAGTGCAGCTTTCTGGCCACGGGAAGGGCGATAACGAACCCCAGGCAAGGGAGGAGGAAAACACGGGTTCCTTCCCACCAACTGGCGATACCGGAGCCAGGATCCAGTGTTTGTTTGCCTTCTGGAAAATGAATGATTTTCACATATATGTTTGGGCTTTTATTCCACCAGATCACTGACAGATCCTTCATCTTTCCTGTACACATATTCCTGGCACTCACCGGGTAACAACCTGGCTACTGGCGCCTGTAGCAAATAGATCTTTCATAGCGCTATTGCTGGCAAACCTGAAAAAGGTGCTAGAGGGTTTGGAGGCGGGGTGGGGGATGCTATTCACAGACTGTCCTATTTAAGGAACACCAGCGCTCGCAACTTTATAGTGGTACTGTCAGCTGGACCCCCTGGCCCACAGCCGGCGCGGGCTGTAGTGTCCCCCTCAGCCCGACGCGACCCCTCCTCCCCGTCCGGGGGGGTCTTCCTGCCCCCCCTGCCACTGGCTCCCCCTTGCCGGAGGGGGATGCATCAGCTTTAGCCGCAGGGGCTGGGCAGGCGGGTGGTCGGGGAGGGGGGAGGGGCGCAGCCTCTCGGGCCCGCAGCGGCTGCTCAGCCCCTCCGCTGGGCCGAGCCCGGGCGGCCGGAGCTCTACCAAACGGTAGGTTGCCATCTTACCGCCAGCTCGATACTGTACATTTGGAGACAATTTGCACCCCTTCTCCCCTTCATCCATCCATCCATCCATCCATCCATCCATCCATCCATCCATCCATCCATCCATCCATCCATCCATCCACCCACACCCCTACTCAACAAAGAGCTTTTCAAATAACAACCTTTTATGGTAGCCTGCGGGAATCAATGCGACAAAACGGGGTTTTAATGGGTTAATTGACTGGAGACGCTATCATGTTTAAACACCTGTTTCTGAAAAGAGATTCAGCCAAAACCCGTCCCCTCCCTGATCGATAGACGCGCAGCCTCGCTCCATTGCCTGTTGATCGACCCCAAACACCACCGGCAAATAAGAGAGGGAAAAATCCATTTCATTTTTTAAGCATCCCAATACTTTATGGCAATAGGAGAATTTGTACAGCCACCTTGGAGCTGGGGAGGGAGAGTAAGAACCCGGGTTGGACGGGCCCAGGTCGCCCTAATCCCCGTGAGTTTCTTTCTGTCTGGACTTTACTAGGCGAGGCTGGGCAGAGCCTCCGTACCGAAGGGTTCCAACAGCTGTCACCTTCACAGGGGACCAGATCCGGGGATTCCCCACTCCCCGGGAAGATGGAGCCGGGCTCAGACCGGCCGCGTTAGCAATGCTAAGAGCCCGTTTGAATGCTCTCTCTGAGGGGCAGAGATTAAGCAGGCATTAGTTATAATTGCTGAGGACTGCTCTGCCCATTGATTTCCCCCCTTTTTTGGCAGTATTGACACAGCCAAGCCCGCCGGTCAGTCACACCGAAATTGATTCTTTGACCAAGACACCTTTCACTAAATGGCACACGCGCACCGACATGTTAATGCCTGACCGTGGAACCGGAGCTAGCGCTAAGAGCTCGGGAGGCAGCACGGGGGCCGGGGTGTCCCCAGCCGCCCTCCCACCCCGGCTCCAGCCTTAGGTCCCGGCCCAGCCGCCGCTCCGCAGACTCCGGCCCCGCGATTCAAAACCCAGAGAGGCGTCTTTCCCGGGAAGGCGGAGGGAGGCAGCCCAAAACACTGTCACCCTCTGAATCTCTCCCCCCTCACCCCCCCCCCCCCATCCGTGTCACAGCCGATAACCCAGTGATTGCAAACGGCTCTTCCCTCGCAGCAAAAGTAACTGGGAAGCCCTCCCCTCGCCGGCTTCCCCTCCTCCCTTCCCAAGACAGGGCGAAGACCCCCTCAAAAGTTAGAGGCACACTTACAGTTGATCTTCCAGCTCCAGCCTCCTCCCAACATGTCAGCTCAAGGGGCAGCCTTATTACTAATATATTTTGGTTTTGTTTTTTTTCTCCCTCGGCTCTAGCCTAGCTCACACCTTCCTCCGACCGAGCCCGGCCTCTCCTGCTCGCCCCTCTCCCAGCCGCAGCTTCCAGGCGGCTGTGCCCAAGCCACGAGTGCCCAGCGACACACGCACACTCACCAGCCGCGCTCTCTCGCTCACTCACTCCCTCTCTCTCCCCCTCTCACACACATACACACACACATCCTGCACGGGAGAGGGGGAGAGAGGGAGAGCGGGAGAGAAAGAAGAAAATAAAATTTATTATTGATAAGAAAAGACTTTAAAGACAATTTCAAGTTATTGTTTCGGTCTGGAGAGAAAAGGGAAAAAAAAAAAGGAAAAAAAAAAAAGGAGAGGGGTTTTTTCTCCCCACCCCAACATAATGAAACGCCTTTTGTGTGGCACCGAACAATACCAAACAAGTATTCTAATAAATAGCCACTTTTTTGTTCCGTTGCGGCAGTGAATAGAATTGAGCAGTTGGTTTGAGAGCAGCTGGAGCGCCGAGCGGGGAGGTGGAGCCGGAGCCTTCCTCCTCTGTCTCTTCCCCTTTCCCTCTCCCGCACGCACTTTCTCCTCTAACCTCGCCTTTCTCCCTCGCCGCTCCTGCTGGGCCACTCTCCCCTGCCCCTTTTCCCGGGAGACATGCAGCCGGGAAAGGAAGAGTCACCCCAGGTGCTGCTTCTCGCACCTGGGCTTCCCCCGCCTCCTACCGCCCATCACCGTGGCCTCCCCGACCGCTCCAGGACCCCTATCCCGGCCCCCCCCCCCCCCCCCCCCACCGCCCCGTGCCCTGCCAGTTCCCGGCAGCTCGGGACAGCGGAGGCTCCGAGCCGTGCCAGACCCTCCTTTGTTGACAATAAACTTGGATTTCCCAGGGATGCTCAAACAACCCTCTCCGCCCTCTCGGCCCCCCTCCCATTTCATCCCTGCCTCCCCCCGCTTTTCCCGGGATGGATGTTAGCCCCTCTCTAGTCCGCCTCCTCCCGGGATCGCTGCGGAGGGTCCGCACCTTCTCCGCCCCGTACCGCTAATCGCGATGACCTCCCCTTTCCTAGACAGCGCCTTTAGTTTTCCTCCCGCATCCTCCCTCCGCCCCCCGGCCTTTAATACTCTTTTCCAGTCCCCTTCTATCAACATGACAACCGCTCTAGGAAAAAGACAGTCGATAGAGGTTGTTAAAACGGACACAAATCAGCTAAAGATGCCCAGGTAAAGCTGAGAACAACCCGCTTTCTCTCCGCTCCGGCTGTGGGAGGGTGCGTGTGCCCGTGTGTGTGGGAGGAGGGAGGTGTGCGGTAGGGGGGGGAAGGATGAGGAAAGATCGGGAGGGCAGAAGGGGGTAAAGGGGGGGGAGCTGCCCGCTGCTGGAGCCAGCGGTACCGGCACGGTGACTGCCCTCGCCCTGCGCAGGGACCGGCCGCAGTAGCCTTCCCACCGCCGGAGTGTGTTCTGTTATTGGGGGGTGGGGGGGTGGGGGGGGTGGACCTAGCCTTCATTCCAGAAATAAATTAATAACATCCCCCAACATTTACCTCCGATTCGTTTGACAGCTAAAGCCCCGCTTGCCTGGGAGGGGCTGCGGAAAGCTCCCGAGGTTCCAGCAGACCCCGGCAATCGCTGCAAAGACTTTAGCATGGAGGGGTTACCTCGCCAGCTATTTCGCGCTGTTTAGTCGCATACAATCATTAGAGACGTCAGAATAAAAAATCAGTTAGCTTTTAAGTTTAAACCACCGTTGCCGTTCACAGACTCGTATTGCTCCGTGAGGGGAAACGGGTGAACGGACGGGCGCGTCGTAACCACCTGAGTTAAATGTCACATCCTCATTAGCGGGGCTAGAAGCGGGATCGACCTCAACCAAGGCATAGGGCTACCCGCTCCATCGGTCCCTTGCACCCCTTTCCAGAGCTGCCTTGAGCTGGCGGCTACCGGCAGGACCCGGAGGTGGGGGCAGGACGGTGAACGGCCGCAGGGTGCCTTTGGTGTCCCCCCAAACCCGGAGCCCTTTCCCCAGGATCTGGCGCTCTCCTCCGCCTGCCCCGGAACATTTTACAACCCCCACCCGCTCCTTCTTTTTCTTCCGTTCCTTTCTAAGTGGATTTTTGTTCTCACTTCAATAACACGCCGTCTTTAATTAGCTGCAATATTAAGAAGCGCTGCTAACCGCCGGTGTTATCTGGGGTGTGCAGAGAGGAGGAACGCGGGGACCCGGGGCGATGCCCACCCGATGCGATCGGCGCTGACTCCCCGCCAGCAGCCGCCGCTCGCTCTTTTTATATGGAAAACCGGCAACATTTCGGAAAGCAGCTTTAAAACTTTGACTTATATTTTACATGCTAAATAACGGGGAGAATGGCGGCAGCGTTACAGAAAGCTTCAACCCTGCAAATATTTGAATGGGGCTTTTTTGTAAAGTAGAGCAGCTGTCAGTCAGCTGGCTTTGACAGCCTGCCACAATTTTGTCATTTAATAGTGGGTGTTAGGCTAAGTGCAAAACACTCTGGCAAACAGATGTCAAACCTACATCTCATATAAATGGGGGTTGTAAAATTGAGTTTTAACCCACATATAGGGTTTTAAAAAGCGGTGCCAGTGTGTAAACGGTATACAAAATAGAGATACTGACAATCTCCCGTGTGGGCTTGTTATTTAAAGCAGGCTTATTTAGAGTTCTGACCTCCAAATTATGCTAGACCTTCCTACATTTCAACCAGAGGAATATGAGAATAGTGCTTGGGAAAGTCGGAATTAAAGACAAATATGATGGCTCATTCAAAGGGGCTGATTGCCGTATATACTGGAAAACCCAGGACTCTTCATTTCCTCAGCTTGCAGCGGCTCTTCCGAATCTGAAGTGCAGGAAGGAAGGAAAAAGAAGGAGAGGGGAGGAGAGGAGAGGAGAGGAGAGAGGAAGAGAGGGAGGGAAGGAGGGAGGAAGAGGGAAGGAAGAAGGAAGGGAGGGAGGGAGGGAGGGAGGGAGGGAGGGAGGGAGGGAGGGAGGAAGGAAGGAAGGAAGGAAGGAAGGAAGGAAGGAAGGAAGGAAGGAAGGAAGGAAGGAAGGAAGGAAGGAAGGAAGGAAGGAAGGAAGGAAGGGGCAAGGAAGTGAAGAGAAAAGGGAAAAGGGAATGGATGGGAAGGGAAAAGGGAATGGAAGGGAAGGGAAAGGGGAGTAGAAGGGAAAAGGGAAAAGGGAAGGAAAGGGAAAGGAAGGGAAGGGACGGGGAAGAGAGGGGAAGAGAAGAGAAAAGAGAAGAAGAAAGGGAAGAGGGAAGGAAAGGGAAGAGTCCGAGGTTTCAGGGACTGTTTTCTACAGTGGGACCTGAGGGGTTTGTTGGAGGAGAAGGCAGCAGGGAAAGGAAAGACCACAATTGCAGGAATCAGGCAGAGGCACAAACACAGCCGCTGTAGGGTGAGTGAAGGATCGCGTTCAGACCTGCTGTGAAGAGCGGCAGGGACCGCCTAGGACATGGCAAGACCGAGATTAGGAGCAGCAGAAGGAAAAAAAATATTAGTCACGGTTAATTTCTCCCCAAGTTACTATTCAGAATACAAGCTGCTTTTCTTTCTGAACTTGCATTTCCAAGACCCACATCATCACCGAGATGTGATTTCCCTCTGTGCTTTGAGGGACCCCCCTGACAAATTTCCTTCAAACATTTAAAAAAATGTCATAAATATTTATACCAAAAATTGTTCATTGGCTCAGCTGGCTAGAACGAAGCAAGAAGAGAAAAGATGGTAATTCATTGTATGAATGATATTATATGGATGATATCAAATCCTCTAGAATAAGTCTGCACCCACATTATTGTTTTGGAAGCTTCCAAAACAAGCCGACATGAGGGGATTAAATGAAACATTTAATTTACAAGAATTGTTCATATTAATAATTAACCACGGTTTACCACATGCCCAACTGATTTCCTCGTCTAGGACTCAGTTGCAGGATTTGCACGGTCCTAGCTGATGTTAAATGAGTAGAGGAATACACACGGGAGGATTATTGATCCTATGCAGCTACTGCTGTCTGCTGTCTTGGAGTCCCATTTGACCCGAACTCGCCCCTCGCTCCCCTCCCAGGGCCCCAGAGCTCTTCTGCGTGATTACAGCCTTTTCCTCTTTTCGGGTTTTTGTTCGATTGCTGTTTTGAGGGGCTTTCAACTCTTAATTTCACAGAACGAAGATGAATGCTCCCTAACGCTGCCTCAGGTGTTCAGAAAAGAGGGGGAGAAGGGACTGCCCGCATTCCCTTGCCCGATGCAATGGGGAGGTCCCCCCCTCCCGGGGGATTTGAGAGGCGGGGGAAGTGGACCCGGAACGCGGATTCGGAGCCGCCCCCAGCCTTTTCCAGGGTTCTTGGGGCAGCACAGCACACACACTGCTTCTGGGACTGACCTGAAAGTTGCCGCCTCAGAAATCCCAGATTAAAAGCAATATTAATAAAATATATCTATTTCTATCTCTATCTATATAATCTATATATATAGCTATATAATCTATATCTACATCTGTATGTGTACCTGTCTATATATCTGTATCTATATCTAATCTATAGCTATAGTTATATCATCTATATCTATCTTTATCTAATCTAACCTATTTCTAGACATACAGACATATATATACACACACATATATAGGCATATATATATAGACATATACTTCTTCCAGTGGTGCCTAGAGCCCTCCAGGCTGAGGGAATTGAAAACTTCTCAGGTCACCAAATCTCAGTCCTGAGGTAAGCTTTCTTCAACACCCTGATAACACCAACTACAGCCTGGCATCGGGTCAAATGAAGAAATGAGGTTTTATTCTGGAACAATTGCCTCTGAGTTGTTCTAAGTCAGTAAATTTTAGCTGCAACTTTTGGTATGCAGCAGTTTGCAAAAATACTCAGGGCTGGCTTTGAAGCTGGTCCCTGGCTCTAGAGTGGAGCTGTGGACAGTCTTTTTTAAATTCTCTCATGCAGAAAAATGCCTGTAGCTGTTATATAGCCTATCTGCCTGCAAAGAAATACTATGGTAAAACCATGACCCTTGTTTGCAAACAAGAAACCAAACAAGAAATCTGGAAAAAGTACTTATTGATATTCTTGATAGATACTAAAAACCTCCTCTTGCCACCTAAAACTGGACGTTCTGTTATCTCTAATGTGATTGCTTTTTTACCAGTATACTTGTATGAGTATTTTATTACTTTCCAACATATACAAAGCTGCCCCCTTTTCAGCATTCTGCCATGAAATGGTTCCAAACCTCAGAAGTCAAAACCTAATTGACATAGATAAATACATTTTTTTCTCAAATGTAGCAGTTTTATCAAATCTTGAAATTAAGACCAATGACAACCTGACTGCACTAAAATTGTTCTGAAATGCAGATGAGCACTCTCTCTAATTGCAGTGTCATCAGAAATCCAGGCTCTCAACTTGTATTTATTTCCATATTTCAACCATTAATATTAGTATATTTTTAGGGTGCAAATATTACAGCACAAGTTCAAATGACAGAGCTGGAAAATTACTAAAATAACATGGGAAATAGAAATAAAGATGACTATGATTTTACTATTTGAGGATTAAATAGGATTTCTGCTGTAGATAGGAAACACAAAGATTAATAAAATCGTGTCTTCCATGGGCTTGATTCCCCTGACTATGATGGAATTACGCCTGATCTACACTGGAGTGAAATCAGAGGGAAGCTACAAGACCTGTATATAAGCTATAAAGCAATAAAAATCAACAGGTGGAACCTAATTGCATTGCTGCACAAAACTCAGTATTTACATTATTTGTGTTAATTCTCTTTCCATTTAGAGCAGCAGATAGTAATCAAATTGTTTTCTTAGTGGGTTTGTTGTTTTTTTTTTTAGGTCTTAAATTTGCCTCCCCTTTCAATAGGGACTGAAGTCTGAACCACACTGTTCAAGTGCAGAATTTTTATTCCAAGAATGAGATGCATATCAATTTTTCAAGTGGCTTGTGAGTAGGGATCAGGTCATCCCTCTGCAATGTGATCCAGTCATTTGATGAAACCATGAAAGTTGAAGGTAGTGCTGTAAAATGGAGCGTGGCTTATCATCAGGTCTTGTGGCTCCTCAAAGACATATTGATGAATGAAGCTTTTAGATTAGTTTTAGATACTCTGTCATCACTGCCATGAGCCCTCCAGAACATATTATGGCTTTAAGAAGTCAGTTTCTTTCTGAGCATCCAAGTCCATGTACCAGAAGCTCTAACTTTTTACTGTGATGGCAAAACTGTTTGCACATATTTCATATATATTTAACATTACATATTTGTACTTCCTGAGGGAGGTGATAGCCCATTGTCCATTTGATGCCCTAGCTGTATATGCAAGTAGAAGATGTATATTTAGTTGTATTTAATGAGATGTTCCAGTGCTAGAGAAGTGCCTTCTCAGGTCATTGGGAGGAGAAGACCATAATGAGCCATGGTTTGCTGAGACAGTGACTGCTATGAAGCTACCCAAACCTTTCAGTTCCTCTTCCAGTGAAGACGATTCACTTTTGCTGGGATCCTCAGTTACACTACCAGGACTGCCACTGGTTTAAATCCCTTTTCTGTTACATTAGATCCATCTATGCTCTCCAATTGTTGCCTCAAGCTTCAACCAATCATCCTGACACCCTTGATTGTCTTCACTCCAGAAATTCTTGGCTTTTGCCTGGGATGGACATTTCCTATCCTTTGTGAGCCTTCTGCTCGCAGGCAATATGGTCATGAGCCAATCTGAACTGAGAGCAATGGACTTACTCTCTGCTGCAGACCACAAAAGCAGTTCACACTCACTGAAACAGTGCCATCAACTGAATGTTAACAACGATTAAGAAACAGCCCGAGGTCCTTGGGTAAGTCCTTTATACTTCAACATTTGTAGGGATCCAGGATATTAAGACACAAGATTCCCACTGCAATGAACAGAAGCTCTCCATTTGAATTCCTGGATTTAAACCTCCCGGAGATGAAGTTGTGAGGTAACTGGCTTAATCTCCTGAGCCTCCACTGAACCATAGATACACTGGCTACCATAACACATAGAAACTTCACAGAGGAATTACGAGTATATATTTGCTAATACTTTTAAGGAGAGATAAAATAGTAACAAATGTGTTAAGGGTTGTTATTAATATCTAACACCGTGACACACTCTGGGATGGGGAAGCAGGAATTAATGTTCAGAGTATCTGAGGAATGCTGCCTTGTGTGAAAATATCTCTGTTACTAATGTGATGACTGTCTAGTGGAGTTGTGGTTGCTGGGAATTCACACACTGATTTTATGGAGAGATAAAAGAGTGGAGTTTATATGGAATATAAACCCTTTTGAATAAAACAATCTGCATAAATGCTTTAAGAAAGCCTATAATTATGATAAAAATGTTGCTCAGAGTTAAAATTATGAAGCAATCAAAATTTATAAACAGTCTCTTATCGACTTTTAATCATACTTTCTCATATACAAACTGTAGAAACATATAGTAGCTATATAGAACAATACGCATTTTATTTTCAGTAATTTAGGGTCCACATGCTCTTTAATCAGACAAAGCTCAGCTTGTGAAGCTCTGCAGGACTACCCTTTAATGTCAAAAAAAGCATAAAGGCT